TCTGAAGTAATATAATAATTTTTGCAATTTTTAAAGAAAATAATTCCAGTGACTTAAGAAGAGAATAGTTAGGTAACTTTTGTGTTGTAAGAAATATCATAGATCTTGCACAATGGATCTTGTAAAAAATTATTGCTGAGGAATTGTTGAGGAAAATAATTTACATTCTCAAGGGATGTTACACTAGAAAAGTTATATATTTTAATAATAGTCACTGACAGAAAATTATATGCTTTACTCAGTACTCATGCAACCCTTCATTTATAAAAAAAATTCATGAAAAATTACAACACAAAATAATAATTTTGACTTTGCTAAAAATTCTATTGTCAAAAAATCTCAATAACAATAAAAAAATTTGCATATTCCACAAAAAATTCCGAACCTCTAATCAATGTGATTAGAACTAAAACCTCTAATCAACGAAATTTCTCTCTGCAATTTTCCACCCCATTTCTTGCAACAAGCCTTGCAAATTAATTTTAGCAAAATTCTATGTAACTACTAATGCACTCTAATAATCTCTAAATTTGTATAAATATAGTCGATTAAATCCCAGAATAGAATATATAATAATTTCCCAACGAAATATTCTATTTGCGTTTTAAGATTTGGCGCTTTTTAAAGATTGTCAAAGAACATGTCAGATTAGATAAAATGTTGGCACTGTGGACGGTGCATAAGGGAATAGTTATAACTAGCAAAGATTTTTCTCGGGATTTTACTATTTCTGAGCCGCGTTTTGCATTATTTTCGAGCTGGTGATTCGTTGAACGAGTAACCAACCGTGAATCACGACCCCAGCGTTCCGGCGTTCGTTCGTTCGTTTCGCAAGCAAAACGTAGACGAATTTATGGCGTCGAAAACGTGCTGGCAATTACGCTTGCGAATGCACATTTACATTCGCGGTCTATATTCGTTCTGTTAGATGAACGTTCGCAGGGTGAATTCGAGCACTTTCATCTTGAACTTATTTTTTAACTATTTCTCGATTTTTGGTAGACCGTGCATTTCGTGCTTGATATATATTTTTAAGGGATCTTAATATTTTTATAATTTGTATGAAATATTTAAAATTTATTCTCACATGAAATTTTGATTATTATAATTTTTTAACCCCTATTACTCTATCGTTAATTATTAAATTTTATTTGTAAATTTTACGTGTGTTAATATTTTTATACCTTGCATGAAATATTTAGAATTTATTCTGACATGAAATTTTAACCCGTGTGAAAAATTTATTGGGTATTAATTTTTATTAATAAATTCATCATCAAGGTTCTATTAAATACTGTCTTCTATTTACATCATGATTTATATATTATTTTTTATATTGATTTCAAATCTTGATTGTTATAATTTTTCAACCCTTATCAGTCTATCATTAATTATTAAATTTTATTTGTAAATTTTGCTTGTCTTAATATTTTGATAGTTTGCATGAAATTTTGTGGAATATGCATGGATATATAAATAAATTTTATAGTCCGTTAATTTTCATGGCGTGCGAAATGTATCGTGACTGGGTGATTCCTGGACTTAATTAACGGATGTTCTTATGCATATGTCTGCAATTATTTATTCAAATTATTATTCAAATCTTGAGTTAATTACCGGATATTTCTAGTAAAATTTATGTGTCTATTGAAATACTCAGACGCTCCAGATTTGCATTCTTCGGTTATTTTTGCATTTAGGTTATGTTCGTTTTGATAACGGAACCGGTTAAAATATTCATAATTTTTATTTAATGTCTAAGAAAATTTTGTTGAGGAAGTTTTATTCAAATTTGTTATAGAAATTTTATATAACAAAATATGTTAATTTAAACTTTAAATATTCACTACAAAATATGAAAATATTGAATAAATTTTTATTAATTTTATTTAAGTTATTTTTGTTTATATTGTATGCTTTTAATTACGTTTAAAAAATAAATTGTTCTGTGTATGATTTTACCCACCCTAAATTTCCAGATAAAAAAATTATTCATTCAAAATAGTAATCACTTCAATAATAAACAAATATGTATACAGTTTTGTGAATATTATAAAATATTATAGTCATATACTAATCATTGTAAAATTAATCATTGTAGCTACATTACAATTATTCATTATATATAATAAATTATTATAAATCATCATGAATTTCGAGATGCCAAAGATAAACTAATCGCTCAGTCCATTATTTTCAACATAAATGCTACTCCATCCAATTAATTTCTCATCAATTTCAAATTAATCCCTGAAACTCAGTTTCATAACGCATAGATCATCGAATCGGCAACAAACGAGGCTTGTACGTACTTAAAACATTCGTATTTATTGGTTTTTGCATTGTACAATAATAAATAATAGATTAGTAGAATGTTAAAGGGGGAAGAAAATCACTTACTGTGTAATGCATGTGTGGGTGTAACTAATAAAACTTCACGTCGTTATGACTAAATGAGAAATCCTTTCTGACGTGTACAGGTAACGTATACACTTACATGTATGTATATATATTATATATATATATTTTATGATATATATATTTCTTTTAATATTGAACATCGATACTAAATCGAACGAGTAAACGAGTCTCTCATTAAATTATTCCGGACCGAAAATCTTCGTGTGAGCATTCCTAACCTCAAAATCGAGCTTCTTATATACAACACGGAAACAGAGAACTGGAACTTTTCGTTTTTGATTTCTCTATCGAAGCACCATCTCGGAATTGTCCTTTTCCTTCGATTTTTATTGAGAGATACAGTGATGGGCGGGTTAAGGGCTTATTAAAAAGCTCACGGGCACTGGCCGGCAAAATGTACGCAATTGGAAAATCAATCCGTTTTAATTTCAAATTTTGTGACATAGTTTCACTCGTTTGACACGTTTTATTTCGATTTGTTCTAATTTAGTACGTTTCGATCTCAACGCATTTGAAATTGGCGCGCTTGAGCCTGGGGCGTTTGAAATTGGCGCATTTATATTTGAAATATTTCAATTCGACGCGTTTGAAATTGGCGCCCTTCAGTTCGACGCATTGTGGTTCCACAAGTTTTAATTTTCTACGATTTAGTTCGATATGTTCCAATTCGATGCGTTTCAATTCGATATGTTCCAAATCCACACGTGTCAATTTCAACGCATTTGAAATTGGCGCGTTCGAAGCTGTAACGTTTGAAATAGGCGCGCTCGAAGTTGCAACGTTTGAAATTCGCGCGTTTCAATCTCACGCACTCAAACTCGACACGTTTTAGTTTTACAAGTCTCACTTCCATATATTTCAAGTCTACAAATTCCAATTCGTCGCATTTTAATTTAATGTATACGAAATTGACGTATTTTAATTCAAGACATTTGAAATTGGCGCGTTTTGATTCGCAACGTTCGAAATTGGCGCGCTTTAATTCACGACGTTCGGAATTGGCGCATTTAAATCTGACAGCTTTGAAATTATATTTCGAATTGAAACATTTCCCCACAACTTTAATTCGAAACGATTTTGTTCCACAAACGTCCTCTTAATAAAAACCCCATATTTCAGAGCCCCAAGCGTAAGAATTTAGCGAACAGTTACTATATCACAGCGCCACTAAAGCTATTCTATATCGATGTCAACGAGTGTACAGCTTCTACGCCCGCACAAATGCCTTCATGAACACCACAGCCCATCACTGTTTCAATTAAAACAAATTTGCCGCCAAAAGACGTTCGTAGACGCGTCTCGCTCATAAATGCACCTGATGGAAAAATTACATCAACGATCGTCTTTAAGCTCAAATTTCAAATAATACCAGAAAATTATACACTTTTCAGCACCACCTTCGTTCTCGTCTGAATTTCTTACCATTTTACTTTTTTTGTCCTCAAAATACAGATGAATTAAGGATTTTATGTTCCTCGTTTCACTCGCTCGTCTACTTTGAAAACACGACGAGTTAGTACAAACTCCCCGAGCTCGCTTTTGATTCTTTCTTTTTATTAAAAGGGTGTCTGGGGGCTAGGGATTCGTGTGATGGGTTAGGATATCTTTTTTTTCTTTTTTCTTTTAAAGGGAAAACAACAAAAAAGCGGAGAAAAATAGAAATACGCATGGGAGTCCTCGATGGATTCGCTTTTGACAAGGCATCGCATCTTTTTCAGACAATTTCTTATTAATTTGAGATTCTTTTGTGTTTTATTGTTATTTCACCCTGTTTTAGTATAAAAATATATTGTGTTCATCAACCGGTGCTAGTATAGTCATTAACATATTTTTATATCACATATTCTTTTAACACTTTTTCACCCCTATCGATGAATATAAATAATTATATATGTCCATGTATAATTCATAATTGTATGTGTATATTATTTCATATATGCTAAATAATTATTTAGGTAATAATATAAATATACTTATTATGTATTTCGTTCAGTGATTTAAAAAAAAATTTTGTTTAATACAAAAAGGGGGTGCAGTGTCTAAGATGACATTTTAGTCTCATGAGTGCCATATTTGTCTCACACAATTTTTTTTTCATATAAAGAACTTAAGCATACATTATTTGATTTTCAAAATTCTATCAACAAAAACTAATTCATTAAATATCTAATCATTATTACTAGCACGGTTAATACAAACACTTCTCTAAACAAAATTTCAACCCCATCGATATAATTACACTAGATAAGTATCAAAGACCTTGTACATCCACAATTCATGTTTCCATGAACGATTATCAAGGGTTGAACGTTAAGGGTTGTTCATACATGATGATTTTTTCTTCACCAAGACAACATTTGTCTTATTGAGTTTCTCAAGAAGTTTCTTCTCATTTTCTGTACGATTTAAAAATGTGAGAAGATTTAATTCTCATAATTTGAGAATTTATCAGGGTGGTTGTTGTAATATAAATTGTCTTAAGGATGCGTTACCCCGTCACGTAATAGAGGTATATCCCATCGATTCAATCGCGTCTCGTGTTAGCAATTGAATTTGTATCTTTTAGATTCAGTTCTTACTTTTGACGATGAGTTTGGCAGAGGTTTCTACTGTGCCGGCTGATGTGGTAGCTCGGCAGGTGAAGGTGCCAGTGTCCTCTTCGTAAGTGGTCGCGATCAAGAGCACCGCGTTATTGCCTTCGTGAATCATCTATGATACAAAATATGACTTTTTGTTCGATATTTTATGAACAGGTTGATTAATTGATATTATAAAAATGTGTTGTTAAGGGGTATGTACCTTTGATATTGAATGTATGTCTTATTGAGAGAGTGGATTACGTTGAGAATTTATTAAAAAATAAAATTTGTCAAATTTGTTGAAAATTTAGTCAAACTGAATTTTATAGAAATTTAGTCGAATTGAATTTATTAAAAATTTAGTCGCATTGAATTTATTAAAAGTTGAGTCAAATTGAATTTATGAAAAATCCAGTCAAATTGAACTAATTAAAAATTGAGTCAAATTGAATTTATTAAAAGTTTAGTCAAGTTGAATTTATTAAAAGTTTAGTCAAATTGAGTTTATTAAAAATTTAGTCAAATTGAATTTATTAAAAGTTTAGTCAAGTTGAGTTTATTAAAAATTTAGTCAAATTGAATTTATTAAAAGTTTAGTCAAGTTGAATTTATTAAAAATTTAGTCAAATTGAATTTATGAAAAGTTTAGTTAAATTGAATTTATTAAGAATTGCTAATTTAATTTGATTCTATTAGAGGATGGATACTGAAATCTACTATTCTGAAGTCAACTATTCTAACTTTTGTCGAATTTTTATATAAAACATTTAATGGTTATATAGACTGATGTAATTTCTTTTTATTGTGATGCTTTTGTATAATGCTTTTATTGATTTAGTTGATTGGTTTAAAAAAGGTAATTCATAGTCAAGTTCATTCATTTCACTCGTTGGAATATTGCAAAAGTGAATACCCCTTTACTCTCCAAAAACTGAGTTGCTGAGACAAGAACAAAATTAAATATTATTTCAAAATGTAACCTTAAAATTTCAAAAATAAACTTGCATTACTTTACTTAACAGGTATTAAGCTATTTGTCATTTTTTAAATAATAATTTTAATACATCAAATATTAAGCTGTATCAGGTATTTTCTGAATAATATAATCATTCTATCAAAGTGAAATTCTTCCATAGATTTAAGTCATTGCCTCAGTTTCTCCTTAGTGTTAAAAAGTAATAAAATGTAATAAAAAGTAGCTGAAGCAACAAAGAGTAATAAAGAGTAGGTCAAGTAATAAAGAATAATAAAGAGTAATAAAATATAATAAAGTAAAATAATAAAGTAATAACCTAAAAAAAGTCAATAACAGAGAAATCAATTTTATAAATTTAATAATAAAATCAATGAATGTACCTGGAAATCAGGTGATTGAGGGATCAAGGCGCCCTCGCGATACCACTGGATCGTAGGCTTCGGCTTCGATGGAGTAACTTGCGTCTTAAATTGAGCCGGTTGTCCTTCGCTCACAATTTGATCCTTCAAGGGAGTCAATTTTGGTAGAACATCAGCTGCGTCAGGAGCTGAACAGAATTAATTAATACATATATAATCTTGTATTATTTGATTAAAAAAAAAAAAAATTAAAAAAGGGTTGATTTTTACCGAGGACTCTGAGGTTCGCCGATGTTGTCACTTCACCTGCTGGATTTTTAGCAATGCATTTGTAGACGCCTTCGTCTTCGGGGAACGCTTCGGAGATCCTCAGGGTACAGTAGTCACCCTCTTTTGACATTTGGAAGTACTTCGATGGCTTGATCACCTGATTCCAAAAATATATACATAATATGTACAATATAAAAGGCAGACACTTGTCAACGAATGAAATTATTCGTGAAAAGATAATTTGACAGTGAGTTGAAAATTTATAAGATACATTTATAAAATACATTTATAAGATACATTTTTATATAAGTCAATATTTCTAACATGTTTGACTCAAGGATTCAAGTTTATATGAAATCAAAAATTGTCTGTAAATTGTCAATGTCCAACTGTGAAATTGCCTATGAACATTCAAAACAAGACTAACTTCTTGTTTATAAGAAACGAAATGAGTTTAAACCAAGTTTCTTCAAATAAAATAAAATAAACACACATAAACAATAAAATAATGCAATGTAAATAATGTGCAATAATATAATTCTTTTCAAAAGACTCCCTTATTTATAACAATTATATTGGCTCCAAAAAGTGCAATTATAATTTCAGTTTCTACAATGTATCATACTCCCTCTTCAATTCACTATTGAATCAAACTTCATTACCAATAAATATTCATATTTCTTAGTTTGCTCCAGAATTTCAATTTGTAACTTGAATTCACAAATCAATCCAAAATATTCATCCTATCACATCATATATTATAATTTAATCATTCATATGCATCTACATGAATTTAATAATTCATATGAATCTACATAAATTTTATAATTTGCCCGAATTCACCTAATTTTGAAGAACTCGTACCTTATCTCCTTTCTTCCACTGCACAGTAGGAACCGGTTTCCCGGTGATCCTACAAGAGAACGCGACAGAGGTTCCCTCCTTGATGGTCTGATCCCTCAAGGGTTCCAACACCGTGGGTGCCTTTTCAACCCCAGGTGTCGTCGGTTTCGCCGACTTAGCTGGTGATTGAGGTCCTCGTACCGTACATTCGGCATCGCAACGGGCTTCTCCGGCACTGTTTATGGCGACACATTCATATTTGCCCGAGTCTTCGGGCACTGTCTCCAGGAGCAACAAGGTGTAAGTGTTGTCCTCTTCGAGAGTCTTGTAACGAATGTCTGCTGTGATCTTCTTGCCGTTCTGTGAAAATTATAAGAACCAGGTATAGTATAGTATTCGAGAGCTATGATATTCTATAATAGAAGCTATAGTATTCAGAAGCTATAATATCATGACCAATAAGGTCATCTATAGAGATGTAGGGATATTCAAAGACATGTCATATGTATTTAATAATTCGGAGATCTTGAGGTACCTTGAGATACCTTGAATATAATGTAAATATACCTCCACATAATTAACCTTCATATCCACATCTCCTAGCACATATACATACGCTTATATACATATACATATATATGTATACATGTTAGCTATAGTATTCAAAGACCTATCATGTGCATTTAGTAATTCAAACACCTTGAGGTGCCTTGAGATACCTTGAATATAATGTAAATACGTCTCTACATAGTTAACCTACATCTCCACATCTCCTAGCACATATACATACACATACATACATACATACATATATATACATATGTATACATGTCACTCATATACATGACACTTGTACATATTCATGTTACTCATATACATGACACATGTGCATATACATGTTACTCATATACACGACACATGTGCATATACATGTCACTCATATACATGACACATGTACATACACATGTTACTCATTATGCATGACATATGTGCATATACATGTCACTCATATACATGACACATGTACATACACATGTTACTCATTATGCATGACACATGTGCATATACATGTTACTCATATATATAACACATGTACATATACATGACACATGTACATACACATGACACATGTACATACACATGACACATGTACATACACATGTTACTCATTATGCATGACACATGTGCATATACATGTTACTGATATACATGACACATATACACATACATGTTACTCATATACATGACACATATCCATCCTCAAAATTTCACCGCTAGATAGGGGATCCACTATTCCATCAAGGTTCCATCTCAACTAATACTACATTCCTAGTAATATTCCAACTATTACTCCATCTCAACTAGTACTACATTCAACTAATACTACATCCCCCTAATCTTCTACTTATAAAGATACATCTAATTTGTCCCCACAATATATATTAATTAAAATAACAATAATAGACATAATAAACATAAAAAATTGAAAGTACCTTCAGCCAGTACACGTCCAAAGGTTTAGTCCCAGTAACCTTAGCATCGAATCTCGCCAGCTGACCAGTGTTCACCGAAGTATTCTGAATAGTCGACAAGAAACTAGGAGGAACTACACCTCCTCTTCCCGGTTGTCTCCTCCGCTCCTCAACCACCAAATTAGCACTGCATTTCGCTTTTCCAGCCCTATTTTCAGCGATCACGGAAAAGACACCAGAGTCCTCCATGAACACCTGTCGAACGATCAGCACCGACTTCGTGCTGAATGTGTAGATCTGAAGATCCGGCGAGTTCTGAATCGGAAAATCTTCGCGATACCATTTGATAGTCGGCAGTGGATCACCGTCGAACTCGACCTCGAATCGAGCTTGTTCTTGCTCGAAAGCTCTGCAGGGTTGAATCTTCTTGGTGAACACCGGGGGTTTTGATGGTTTTACGGGTCCTTGAACCACGCGTTCTTGTGTCTTCGCTTTGTGCTCCACTTCGGTGGTTTCTGTTGCGGTTATCTTTCGGGTGATCTCCAGGTCACCTTTCACTTCTTTTTGGGTCTGTTTTTGTTTGGCGACGTGCACCTCCCGGCCGTGGACCGTGGACTCGGAGGGCTCTGGAGGATACTTGCCGGAAGTTTTCATGCGCTCGACGTCGATGTCCACTTCCGTTGTGAAGGGCTTTCGGACGGGTCTTGTCACTGTTTCCTGGGTCTTTTTATCTTCTTTGTCCTCTCTGTAAATATTAAGCAATTGGTTTATGTTAAGAATTGCATTTTATGTGATCTATTTAATATTTTATTATGGTGTTTTATTTAATACTGGGCATCAAACGAATCTGTTAATATCTATCTTTTAGCCTCTTAACTCACACTTGTTAAAAATTTTTAAAATATGACACTTGCTAATAATTCCTAAAAATGACTTAAACTTAAAAATCTTCAAAATGTGAAATAAAGAAATGTAATATATTAAAAATCTCATACATTAAGAATGTCACATTAAAATTTGACAAATTAAAATTTAAAATGAGAAATTACTACACAACAAATGTATTAAGAACCTAAATTTCAAAGTAATAATAATCTAAGTTTAAAAATTTGCAAAAACCTAAATTTAAAAATAATAATAATCTAAGTTTAAGAATAAGAAAAACCTAAATTTAGAAATACTAATACTCCCAGTTTAAAAATAACAAAAACCTGAATTTAAAAATACTAATAATAATCTGAGTTTAAAAATAACAAAAACCTGAATTTAAAAATCATAGTAATCTCATTGTCAGTTTAAAAATAACAAAAATCTAAATTTAAAAATAATAATAATCTTAGTTTAAAAATAACAAAAACATAAATTTAAAAATAATAATAATCTGATTTTAAGAATAACAAAAACCTAAATTTAAAAATACTAATAATCTAAGTTTTACAAATAATAAAAACCCAAATTTAAAAATAACAATAATCTAAGTCTTAAAAATAATAAAATCCTAAATTTAAAAATAATACCTAACCTAAATACAATAATTCTAATAACAAAATATATTTAAAATAATACTCACAAAGTTTCTTCATATTTCTGAGCCATCCCCTTCGCCACAGAGTGTGCAACAACCTTCTCACCAGGAATAGCAAATTGATGACTAGATTCCCTTAATCTCGATTCCTTTAAGATCTGTTCTTCTTCGAGAGTCATCAATTTATTATAATAGTCTTCGTTCTTTTTGCTCTTCACAGATTTCTGCCACTCCGTCTCAGGCTCCTTGAACACCTTCTGTCCAAGATGTTCCGTAGCGATTTCGATCCCTTGAGACACGTTGTGATGTCGCTCGTCGAAAACTTTCTCGAGTTCTGTATTCTGTCGCTCCGTTTGGTATTGTGTCAGCCCGTAATCATACCACGCTACAGAAAAATCGTGTTAGACTAATCTCTTCACGTTTTTTATTGATGTTTGACAATGCATGCCAGACGAACGTCGAAAACATTCAATTTAGGGGGATGTTTAATGCTGCTCGATGGTGACGACCATTTTAATATTTTTGTTTTACGTTGCGTTTAGGTTGAAGCCTTTCAGAGTGGAAATTCAGATTTTGGAAATGGTTACTCTTGGAAATTTTTTGAGGTTATTCGATTTTTTCGTTCTGGAGGTTTTAAGGTCTTGAGGTTTTGAAGTTCGAAATATTCGAAGATTTAATGTTTCAAGGTTTTAAAGTTTTAAAGTTTCAAAGTTTCAAGGTTTCAAAAATTCAAAGATTCAATATTTCAAAGTTTCAATATTTCAAAGTTTCAGTATTTCCAAGTTTCAATATTTCAAAGTTTCAATACTTCAAAGTTTCAATATTTCAAAGTTTCAATATTTCAATATTTCAATATTTCAATATTTGAAAATTTCAATATTTCAATATTTCAATATTTCAATATTTCAAAGTTTCAATATTTTCAAGTTTCAAAGTTTCAAAGTTTCAAAGTTTCAAAGATACAAAGATTCTAAATTTTAAACTTGAAGACTGTCAATTCTTCAAAGACTCTCAAATCCCCAAGTCCTCAAATTCTCCAATTTCCACATTTCTCAACACAAAAATTTCCAACTTTTCACATTTCCAAATTCTCAAATTTCGAATTTTAAAACTTGATCAAATTTTCTATTAACCAAACATAAACATCTGTAAATATTCCCAGTATAATATTCCCAAATTTTATACTCATCTCATCATCCTATTTTATAACACCTATTTTCTTAGGTGTTTTAATGTGGAATATTAATGAAATGATCAGCTCAGTATCGAGAAAGCATTAAATTTCCCTGAAAAGAGATTCGTCGAGAATCACGGGGAAATACGACACAGTACTTCATTGGCGATGCAACACATAGGCTCCATCTTGCGAGGAGCAGACCGGAAACCAGATTATCGGAGACACAGGTGGACATCCGGACAATCGAGGTTAGAGCACGTGGTTCACTCGATCTCGTGGGTCTTTTCTTTAGCATTCCATTGGATACGTTTCTTGGATTTTTACATTGATTTTAATTAACAATTTCACTCTTATCAATTGGGAGACTCTCTAAATTCAAACAGTTCGTGATTGTGTACACAGAAATTCAGTGCTTTTTATAAAATTTAGATAGAAACTTACATAAATTTAATTTGTCAAAGTTGGGTAGAAATTTGATAAAATTTGACAGAAAGTTAAATCAAGTATTTTGTCAAAATTTTTTACAGAAATTTAACAAAATTTAACTTCAGAAAATATAATAGAAAGTTAAATTAATTTAATAAAATTTGTCCAAAGATTGTATGAATCATTTTTACAAAATTTATTAGTTAGCTAAAAAGATGAATTTGACAAAAATTTAGCAGGGAATAAAATAAAAAAATTTGACAAAATTGGGCAAAGAGTGCAATAACTTACAAATTGACAATTAAATTAATTTTATAAATTAATTTTAACAATTATTCACTATATTGACTAACAAATTTTGGACACTGATTTTCTTTGTACGAAACACGACACAAAAGAGGGAACGGATATAAGGGAACATTATACACTTTTTTAAATTTTTGCTATGATAACGCGACGAGAAATTGGAGTAATTAACGTCGATACTAACATCGTGATAGGAAGCACTCTGAGAAACACGGACCTCTGCTCGACTGGATGATACAATATGGGATCAATCAAATAAAATAATATATTAAATAAAATCCAGTTGAACTCGAAGAAGGGAAGATGCTCTATGAGAAAATGGACATCGATGAGCAATAAACCCGTTTTCTCCAGTGCAACAGAAAATTATCGAACGTGCGAAACAAAATATTTATACAGAAACAATTATTAATTTTTGTTTCGATTTTTATCATTTTTTCAAGGAATGTGTAATGCTAGAAATATTATGAAAATTTTTATAAAATCATTTTTATAATTCTTTTTTTGAAATATGTATAAAATGTATAAAATGTATAAAATGTATAAAATGTATAAAATATACTATTAAAAAGAAATTATTTGTTTCAAGAGGTAATTGATCAAGTTTAGGTCAATTAATAAAACTAAAATTATTTATAATGCAAATTAAATATATCAAAATTGTCTATCATGAAAATTAATAAAATTAAAATTGTTTCTGTTGTGAATTAAATAAATTAATATTGTCTATGATGAAAATCAATTAATATAAAATTGTCTGTCATGAAAATTAATTAAATTAAAATTGTTTCTGATGTGAATTGAATAAATTAATATTGTCCATGATAAAACTAAATTAATATAAAATTGTCTCTGATAAAAATTAATTAGATTAAAATTGTCTCCAATGCACAATTATTTTAAATTTAAATCTTGACATTGTTAAATTATATTATACATTGTTTTTGTAAATTAGGGTATAGTATAAATTACTATATAATAATTGTAACAACTATGTATAATAATTTATATTAATTTATAACATAAACTATGTATTAAATTTTGAAGAGTATCTAATCTACACCCTGAAGAGCACCAAAATAAACCTAGTACCATTATAGTACCACAAAATACTATAAATTTTGTGTTAAATTAAACAATTTAATTTAACACAAAAATTCGATATACCAGAAAAATCTCACCTATCTAATTTAATCAATAAATAAAAAATAAATATAATACAATAAAAATCGTTTCTGTAAGCAATACTTTGCTTCGCGCGTCCAATCACATACGAACAAAAAAATTAATTACAGAAAATAGAAAACAATGATGAACATAATCGAAGAAACGTGTTGCTTCATTCTCGATAACTTGATTCCATACCTGAGTGCCGGTTTGCGAAACGAAGTAGCCGATACCTTTTGCTTTAGGCGACATTGCTCGAATATGCCTGCCGAAATCCCGAAGAGGAGGAAGAAGAAGAAGCTGCTCGAGGTGCTCGAGGATGATCTTTCGATTCCTTCTCGTAATATTTTTTTTTCAAGGGAATCGGGTAATAGTAATAGGGAAAGAGGGTATTTTTGGTGTTTCGAATTGGTTTCGAGTGTTATTTCTTTTTCTGTGCTCGAATGGAATGTACGTGTCGTATCGATATTCTTATGTACTGTGTTGCGGTTGTTTTACCTTACGCTTTATTATTCATCGCTTTTCTTCGTGACGGATTTGTTCTTTGTTACATCGTGCATTCTTTGCGAAAGACTGTTTCATTCCTTTTTAATTAGGGAAATTATTTGGGTGCATTGTTCTCTGTTAGTGAGACTCTCGTTATATGGCCGAAAATTGTGCGAATGGGAAATTGTAGCTGTTGATAATTTATTATTTTAGAAATATATTATGTATAGAAATGTAGACTGAATTAAAAAGATGCATCAAATTATAATTGAAGAAATGCAGTATTAAAGAATAATTGACGAAATGTCATAATAAATAATAATTGAGAGGCTAATAACAATTTAGACGACAGCAAATAACAATTTACTACTGTTGTATTTAAGAACACTATAAACAATAAAATCAATCAGTCTTATTTCTTTAAGAAACTTATTGCATGTTGTTGTGTATTAATTAAAAAAAAATCAATGTTAATTGAATTTGTTTGAAAATGCTGTACCTAGCGCTATCTGAGGCTATTTCAAGATTTACTAAAATAGAAAATTGTATTTTTCTTAAGAATTAGTCATTTGTATACAATTTTGGGATGAGTAAAATATTCTTCGACCTCAATGGAGTTAAAAAAATATCATCAAGATGTTATAAAAACATTAGAAAAGAAAATATATTTTGTGGACGCCAGAATGCTTAGCCATCTAGCGGTGGAAAGTGAGAACTAATTAAGGTACCCGCCAAAATAGCCCCACTGTACTGAGTAACTCTGTAACATACTGTAATTCATAGCAATATAACGCGTGACCATATAACTCGTCATTCACCATCATCAATCCAGTATTCATCAAAGTATATGTCCTCTCACTTATCAAAACAAAATGGCTTCCACTCCAACGAGAATATGGCGCTCTACATAACCTCAAGTGGCCCAAAAATAATAATAGCTTCACACAGTATAAAAATGGCAATATAACGAAAGTCTACTACAACCTGCAGAGATAAACGAACAAATATCTTCTTTCTTTCACAAGAAATGTTTGAAGCTAGTTTTTGGATTTTCAAGACGCAAAGAATGCAACGATACGTTTGTGTAAGGGATCTCTGTTTCAGTGTGGACTTACGTCTTGGTGAGTTCTTCAGCACTCCGCGATAATCGTCGCTTCTTGGTTTCACTGTCAAAGTGGTTTCAGTGCGAGCTTCGCCAACCGAGCTCCTAGCGATCACTTCGACCTTGCCGTGATCGTATTGTCTCGTCTTGGGGATATCCAGATGGTACATGCCGTCGTAGGTTAGCTTATAACGCGATCCCTGCAAAATTAAATACTTCTGTTAAAAACTGTTTAGGTGTTTTTAATCTTATGTTAACAATAGAGAACTGACGAGAAAAATGATAGTGACGAGGAAAATGAAGAGAACTTACGTTAACAACGGTGTGGCCGTTGATGATCCACATAACTCGAGGACGTGGATGGCCGGTGACGCGACAGCAGAATCTGGACCAGTCACCTTCCTCTACGGTGACGGGCTCTGGTTTGCTGACGAACGTTGGAGGTGCCCGCACCTTCTCCTCTTCGCCTTCTTCCTCAGGTACTCTGTTAATTCAATAACAATTCGATCAATGTCGATCGTTTGTAATCAACAGACAATCAAATAGCACAAACAATCAACTAGTACTTTAACAGATGAAGTACTTTACCAGACTATTTAACAGACGTAGACATTGAACTAATCTACCTAATAACATCAAGGTCAACTTCATTCAACACTGAAGAATGAAGTCACCTACCTAATCTCACTACTTATCTAACCTCACAATTTCCTCACAATATAAAACTCAGACAATTTCCAGTACACTCACATTTGCCATGCAGCTTCCATTTCCCTGATCTTCTCAATACTCTTCATGCCCTTAGGCAGTTGCGACTCATAAATAATTCCAGGTTTGCCAGCAGTTCTGATCACCGCCCGAGTTTCGTCCATTCCATAAAGATTCGTTGCTCTGCAAAGGTACTCTCCGCTGTCTTCAGGGTACACCCAGCCGAAGTTCATCGCGACGTAGCCGAAATCGTATATGGGCGTGAATCGGTTCTTCTGGGGCAGAGGTTTGCCGTTGAAAAACCACTCGACCTTCATGTTTGGATCACCGACAGGCGCCAGTTGGCACTCGAATTTCGTGCTGTTCATCTCGACGAGTTCCAGTTGGTCTTGGATCTGGGTGACGAAGCGAGGTGGCTGTTTCTTGTCAGCGTCGTAGAGATCGTCTTCGGTTAGATGCACTTCGGAGGTGTACTTCTTGATTGTGGCTTCCATCTGCATTAAGGCTTCGGATTTCTTCATACCCTTTGGCACTTGGTTCTGTAAGATGATGCTGGGCAACTCTGTTGAATAGATCATTCATAAGAATCATAATAGAGTCATAAGATATGATAGAATCATAAGAATCATAAGATATTTGATCACTTATCAAAGGTGGCCCCGTATGGGCCAGCTGTGACCTAACGTCTTTTATAATTTTTAAATTAAAAAATATTTGATCACATCTGAAGGACTTACTTTTACATGACACCGATGCCCTAGTGGTGTCCTCTCCAAGGTCATTGATGGCCTTGCACACGTACTCGCCCGAGTCTTCAGGGTACACGTACAGTATATCCATGGACACAAAGCCCATGTCGTATGTGGTCCTATATCTGTGCCCAGCAGGGATTAGTTTTCCGTTTCTGTACCACTCGATACGCAAATTTGGATCATCTTTGGGTTCCACGCGACACTCGAACCTGACTGGTTCTGATTCGTCCACGGTCGCTGATTGTATGTGTGTGATGAATCTTGGTGGTTGTCGTGGTGGTTCCTCGACTGGTGGCTCGCTTACTGGACCACGTTCCAGTTCCTTTAGCTTCTCACCGCTCATTCCGGATGGTAGCTGAGATTCGAAGTCTATCGTTTTCTTGGCTAGAGAGGTCATAAATATTAATTGTTAGTTGTTGAAATAAAATGTTGAAGTGTTAGGGAGGAATGCTATGAGTAGGTGGATCTACATCTCCACATTTATATATTCCTAAAACTCCACATCCTTAGATCCACATGTGGGTCCTAATATCTACATATTCAATACATCTACATCTACATATCTATGCCTACATATCTACACCTACATATCTACATCCAAATCCACATTCCCAGATCATTGCATTCTCAAATGCATATTAGACCCCACACAGGGATGTCCACATCCCCAAATTGCTATATCTGCAGACCTACACATTCCAGACCTCTATGTTCCCATATACCCAGCCCTCTAGACCTCCATTAAAACCCCTAACTTAAGTAAATGCAAAGAATCCTTGAAAGTCCCCAAATATCAACCTGTATACCTACATTTGCAAGTGATGGTGGCTTTAGTAGTAGCAGAGCCCCACTTGTTCGTAGCCCTGCAAACGTATTCGCCGCTGTCCCTGGCATAAGTGTACGACATGTCCAACGATATGAATCCAAAGTCATTGATTTGATGAACTCTCGACCCGGTAGCAAAGGATCGTCCATTATGGTACCAGTCGATGCGCATCGTCGGATCGCCCACAGGTTCGACCCTGCAGTCAAAGTGACTGGGTGCTCCCTCTTCCACTTCGATGTCCTTCAGTTCCACGGTGAATTTCGGAGGATTAGGTGTCTCCTCTTCGGTGAGTATCTCATCTCGCTTATACAAAGCCTCCTCAAGTTTCTGGATGCTCTCTGTTCCGGTCTTGAAGTTGGTTGGCAGTTGCGGTTCCAGGATGATACCTTGACGACCACGGACCTGCAGTTTGCAGGATACTGTAGCTTCACCGTGGCGATTCGTTGCCTTGCAGGTGTACAGTCCAGAATCACGTTGGTAACAGTTGGCTACTTCAAGTATGACGAATCCAAAGTCGTGGATCGTCTTGATTCTACTACCGGCGAGCAAAGGCTTTCCGTTGTGGAACCATTCGACTCGCATGCTGGAGTCGTTGATGGGAGTCAGTCTGCACTCGAAGTGCGCTAAGGCGTTCTCGGTTAGGGTCAAATCTGACGGGGTGGTAACGAATTCCGGTGGTTTTCCTGTGTCGTCGTCCGGCGTTACTTGACCTGGCTCGTTTCCAAGACCTTCAAGCTCAGCGATCTTGTCGATGGTGCTCTCCATTCCTTTCGGCAGTTGGGATTCCAAGATTATGCTACGTTTGCCCGTGCACTTCATGGTGCAGGTGGTTACTGCCTCGCCGTACTCGTTCGTTGCTCTACAGCTGTATTCGCCGGAGTCTTCAGGGTAGATCGGCGAGATCTCGAGGATCACGAAGCCGAAATCGCAGAAGGTGCGGAAACGAGAGCCGGTTCGCAATGGTTTTCCGTTCCAGAACCATTCGACCTGCAAAGAGAAACATATTTGTATTATTGTGGCATTCTTTAGGATCTAGTGATTCAACACATTTAACAGGCCAAGGATAAGGATTTAAGAGTGTAACTCTGATGGATTATGAGGATCCAGGATAAAGTATTCACAAAGTAATCATACCTTTAGTTTTGGATCGTCCGTGGGTGTAAGTCTAGCTTCAAAGTGCGCACTCTCGCCCTCTCGAAGTCCATCGATGTTGCTCAAGGGCACCGTGAACACGGGTGCCTTGCCACGTTCTTCGACAACCTTTTCATCTTTGGTACGTATCATTGAATCCTCCAAAGTCTGGATCTTCTCCAGACCACCTTCCATTCCCTTCGGAAGCTGACTCTCCAAAATGAGACTCGCTTTGGAGAAGCACTTCAAGGTTGCCTTGGTAGTATCCTCTCCGTATTTATTAAACGCCCTGCACTCGTACACTCCAGAGTTCTCTTCGTAGCAGTACAAGATGTCCAAGATGACGATACCAAAATCGTGGAAGGTTCTGTACCGGTGTCCATGAGGCAGTTTCTTGCCATTGTAGTACCATTCTACCTTTAGGTCTGGGTCATTCACAGGTGTGAGTCTGGCCTCGAAGTGGGCGGACTGTCCTTCGACCAGTCTGGTGATGTCAGCGATCTGGGTGATGAATTTAGGCGGTTCAGCGACCGGTGTGGTCGGTGTGGCGGGTTGTTCTCCGCCGTAGCTCTCCAACTCTCGGATCCTGGCCAGAGAGTCCGGTTGCAGGGAGTCCAAATAGACTCCGCTCTTTCCGAAGCATTTCAGGGTGGCCTTCGTGTAATCCTCGCCGTACTTGTTGCTGGCTTTGCACACGTACTCGCCAGTGTCGTGGGCCATCACTCCAGCGATGTCCATCACGACGAAGCCGAAGTCGGAGACCATCTTGAATCGAGACGAGTGTCTCAGAGGTTGTCCATTGTGGAACCATTCCACCTTCATGTGAGGATCTCCGACCGGAATCAGAGTACACTCGAAGTGCGCTGATTGGCCATCCTTGAGACCTTCCAGAGACTGAATGTGAGTGGTGAATTTGGGCTTCTGTCCTTTGGACTTATCCACACATTCCAGTTGCACGCTGATCTCAGCCTGGCCCCATTTGTTCGTGGCCCTGCAGGAATAAGTACCCGAATCCTCGATCTTCGTTCCGAGTACTTCAAGAACGACCATGCCGAAGGCGTATACCGTTCTGGTGCGATGACTGGCCTCCAGAGGCTTGCCGTTGTAGAACCATTCGACAACCATCGTCTGATCGCCGGTGGGGGTCAGAGAGGCCTCGAAGTGGGCGATCTCTCCCTCGGACAAGTTGGTTAGATTTTCGAATTGAGAGGTGAATACAGGTGGATGACCTTCCTCGCTCTCTGGAGGAGCACCTTCTTGTCTCTTCAGTGACTCTTCAAGATCCTGGATAGCCTCCAGACCTTCCTTACCCTTCGGATGCTGGGATCTCTCGATAATGTTCTCTTTGGTGGAGCAATAGATGGTTGTTGAAGTAAATGCTTCACCTGCCTTGTTGTAAGCCTTGCAGGTATAAATTCCAGAGTCGCGTTCGTACACGTCAGTCAAGTCCAAGGTGACGAATCCAAAGTCGCTAGTCATCTTGAAGCGAGATCCATGCTCCAAAGCTTTGCCGTTGAAGTACCATTCGATCTTCAGGTTTGGATCGTCCTTGGGCTCCACTTGGCCTTCCAGATGAAGAGGCTCGGACTCTCCCAGCTTGAACTCGGGCTGCAGGGGCACGGTCCATATCGGTTTTGGATACTCATGTTCTGGTCCTTCGTCTGGTCTCCTGTATTTGGACAGATAAGCGTCCTCAGCTTCTTTGACCTTCTCCAAACCGGCCTCTCCTTGCGGATGTTGGGTCTGCAGGTAGATGCTCTGTTTGCTAGTGCACTTCAGGGTGCCTGACGTCTGTGCGGATCCTTTGGAGTTGGTAGCCTTGACGATCACCAGTCCAGAGTCTTCTTCGTAGGCGTGGGTGATGTCCAGGGCGACGTAACCGAAGTCGTAGGTCGATTTAAACCTAGCTCCGGTAGGTAACGGTTTTCCGTTGATGAACCATTCGATCTTCATCGTAGGGTCTTTCGAGGGCTCCACGTTGCACTCGAAGTGCACATTGTCACCTTCCACGCACTCAACGTTGTTCAGATGAGTGATGAACACGGGTTCTTCATAAGTAGGCTCTGGTTGTTCCGTCGTTGTGACGCGAGGTTGTTCCAGGGCGTCAATCTTCGGGATAGCGTCTGGATGAAGGGTGTCGCCCAACAGCCAGTGACGGTCGACGATCTTCAAGCTGCATGTGGACACAGCTTCTCCGAGCAGGTTGGTAGCCTTGCAAGTATAAATGGCAGAATCATCTGCCCTAAGACCGTTGATGGACAACGTCACCAGACCAAAATCAAAGGTACTGCGGAGTCTGGTTCCAGTTTGGAGGGACACTCCGTTCTTGAACCACTCTACGCGAAGGTTCGGGTCAGCTCTGGGTTCCACCTGAGCTTCCAGGTACACATGCTGACCTTCCACGAGCTTGTCGAAACTTTCAAGGTGCTTAGTGAACACTGGAGCTTGCTGGGGCGTTGTGTCAACAAACATCTCGGGCACCTTGTTCATCTCGGCTTCCTTGAGCTGGATCTTCTGCCAGGCATCGGGTTGGATACTTTCAGCATCGATGGCTGAGCGGGCTTTAACCTTGAGGGAAATCGAGGAAACGGCTTCGCCGGCTTTGTTGATTGCTTTGCAAGTGTATACACCGGAATCTTCGGTTATCACTTTGAGGATGTCCAGGGTCACGTAGCCGAAATCGTGACTCACGTGGAAACGAGATCCTGGATAAATAAAAATTGTTGTTATAGTTATGTTAATAGGTGATGTTAACTTAATAGGTTCAAGGACTTCTTACCCATCTTCAGTTCGACTCCGTTGATGTACCATTCGAATCTCAAGCTTGCATCTCCGACAGGTACAACTCTGCACTCGTATCTTGCCATCTGACCTTCCCAGAGTTCCGTGGGCCCAGTCAACAGCTGCGTGAAAATGGGCTTGTCGAATACCTTCTCTGGCTCTTCGGGTCGGCTCGGTTTGTCGGCTTCTAGTTGGGCGATCTTGCGTTGCGCTTCAGGGTGCTGGGTGTCTAACTGGATACTTGCTTTACCTAGGAAAGATTTCAGGATTTTAAAGAGCTATTCTTTGGGAGTAATTTAGTTTAATTTAGCTATAATTACTTCTGATCTTCATGGAAGCGGTGGTGACAGCTTCACCGAGTGGGTTAGACGCACGACACATGTAAACACCCTCGTCTTCTTCACGCACATGGGTGATGTCCAGGGACACATAACCGAAGTCATGGACTTTGGTGATTCTTGAACCTAAACATAGCAAGAAAGAATATAATATGAATTGTTCATATTGCAACATCATCTCAAACAAATTCTACTCACTTGTCTCAAGCGGGATTTCATTTCTGAACCACTCAACCTTCAAAGTGGGATCTCCCACCGGAATCAACCTGCACTCAAAGTGCGCAGTTTGTCCTTCAGGAATAGCATCGATGTTCTGCAAAGGTTGAGTGAAGACGGGTCTCTGTCTCGTCTGCGGTTCGGGTATGTCAGGTCTCTTCCAAGGTTGTTGCGCCTCTAGTTCTCGGATTTTATCCAATCCTTCTGGGCGCTGAGAGTCGAGAATGATGTTGTCTCTCGGTATAACCTTGAGTTCGATGGAAGAGACACATTGACCGAGAGCGTTGATGGCACGGACGGAATATTCTCCGGCGTCTTCAGGAACTGCGTGGCCGATGTCCAGAGCCACGTATCCGAAATCGAATGTCACGTGGAACCTTGAAGCTGATGGTAACGGTTTACCGTTGTGGAAGAACTCGATTCTTAGGTTTGCGTCGTGAAGAGGCTCGACTTGGCACTCGAAGTGGGCTGTTTGTCCTTCGTACACCTCGGTGGTACCCTGAAAAATATTATTTGAAACGTTGTGAAACTTTGTGAGATGGATGTGATGGTGATGGCCTGTACTGTATGTGTGTGGATTGATGTATTTGAATATTTTATGGGGGTATGTGAGAGGAAGTTGGAAGAAGTTTGAAGCAGTGGTGGTATTTAGTGGCAGAAGTTAGAAGGTGTGGAAGGAGTAATTGGAAGAAGTGAGATGATTAGTTGGAAGAAGTTTGAAGGACGGTAATGATTGGTTGGAAGAAGTTTGAAGATGTAAAAGCATAAGTAGGAAAGTGTTTTAAAGAGGGTGATTGTTGTTTGAAATTATAGTTATCTTGAATAATGTTTGAGGAGCCTTATTTACATATGATGGTGTGCATTTATATAAACTAGTAAGTTGCAACATATTTGACTACGTTGATTAATTTACAAGGTCTACTTTATTGCTATTTGAAGTATACCTATACTAAAATTGCAAGACTACTATACAAATGTAAGTGAACACAAAATACTTGTTAATTTTATTGTCAAGTTTAAAGAAGTTTGAAGAAGTGGATTGAGTGAGGTGTGGTTGGACAGCATTCGAAGTAATGTTCTTGAATATTTGAAACTCTGATATAAATCTTGATGGATCCTTAAGGAATAATAATTTTCAAAACTGGTGTTCTAAAAGCAGTTTTCAGAAATTACCCTGAGCTCAGTGACGAATCTCGGTGGAGTCACAGGAGGTTCTTCAACTTCCAATCGAGCTGGGTGTCCTTGAGCCTCCAGTTCACGAATCTTTTCAAGGCCATCAGGATGTTGCGTATCTAACAAAATACTGCGACGAGCTGCAAAGCAAAATTTCACATCACAAATACTCCTCTTAACAAAATTAATTCTACACAGTCTAAATATAAATTACTATCTCATTCTTCTTCATCGCAAACATGAAGAACCTCTATTATTTTTATAACATTTTCGTTCCGTTTTGTAAGGATTTTCTTTTAGACCTTCAAACGTGACGCGTCGAAATTGTGGAGGTTCATAGACATGTTTTAATTCTCTCTTTTGAGTTAAACGTTTGTTATTGAAATTCGATTCAGATTTTCTTCTTGGTTCGAGGTAGAATTCGGGTTTAGGATATTGTGTGCGATACCGATTTTCATTGTAATTATTTTTGTGTGGTTTGGAAGCCATGATTTGTTTATTGCATCTGCAGGTTGTTAAGGAGAAGGAACCGAATCTGGGTTTCGAGATTGGGTTTTCTTGTGGGAAAGATGGCGCTGGTATTCTTCGTTCGCAATTGCAGTTTTTGGTCTTCTCAGGAAAATTCAGGGATCGGAAGTGAGGTGCAGGGTAACGTTTGTATTTTGCTAGTAATAATACGAATTAGGTTATGTTAGGTTAAGCTAAGATAGGTTAGGTTACGTTATGTTAAATTTGGAACAAATTTAAATATCATAGCTTTCATATAAGATAATTCAAAATGACCAAATTTTTAATTTACAAAATTTCTAAATACGATATCCACAAATTCCTAAACATTAAACCTTCCAAATTAAAATTAGAATCTTCTAAATAGAAGTTAAAATATATATCAAAAACAAATGAAAATCTATCGGTACGTAATCCAATATATTAACAAATAAGCTATCTTAACTAATATATTAACAAATAAAGTTACTTACAGCCAACTTTGATGGTACAAGTGTTAACAGCCTCGCCAGCTAAGTTAGTAGCCTTGCACATGTAAGTGCCAGAGTCTTCAGGGTACGTATACAAAATATCAAGAGCCACATATCCAAAATCGTGAGTCTTGCGGAAACGATGTCCCGTTTTTACAGCGACTCCATTGACGAACCTAATCAAACACCAAATACATCATTAACAATCAACATCAATCATTACAGACATTTCCAACAAGTGTCAAACTTACCATTCTATTTTCAAGTTTGGATCGTTGATGGGTTCGACACGACACTCCAAATGAGCATGTTCACCTTCTTTTAAGTGATCCAGGTTGTTTAACGGAGTCAAGAAAACGGGCTTCTGATGTACAACCTCTTTTTCAACCTCTTGTTTTATCTCCACGGTTTCTAGCTCGCGAATCTTCTGCAAGCGCTGAGCGTCCAAGGTGTCCAGGAATAATCCTTGTTTCGCTGTTTAGGAACGAACAAGATTTAATGCTTTCTTTGTATGAAGACATTTATCAACTTATAAATTTGGAGGTTCCGAAATGAACTTCGTTCGAGATTTAAGCTTGTCAGTTGTTTGATTTCGTGTAACTCGATTTGATTGGTTTTATGAATTTTATGGGAAGACATTTCAAATCTCGTTTAATATTTTGTTGATAAATTTGGTAAATTTAATAGAATGCAAAAATAAATAGCTGCCAGATATACAGGGTGGTATACAGCGACCATTAGTTGTGAGACACTCTGTATATTCAGAATTTTTAATTACATTATTGCATTAATATGACGCTAAAAGTTCAAAAGTCTCGTTTAACGTTTTATTATGAATTTGATAAATTTAATAGAATGCAAAAATAAATAGCTCTCAGATATACAGGGTGGTATACAGGGATACAGGGACCACTAGTCGTGAGACACCCTGTATATTTAGAATATTTAATTATATTATTGCATTCATAGGACGTTAAGTTCAAAAGTCTATCACTAAGTACTAAATAATTTTTAAATTTTGCACGTGTCACAAAATTATAAATTCTTGACAGTTATATCTATTATTATAATATATTAGTGTACAAGTTATTGAAGTAACTTACAGTCAACACTGATGACACAAGTAGTAACAGCTTCCCCAACAGCGTTCCTCGCCTTGCACATATAAGTTCCCGAGTCTTCAGGATAAGCATACAAAATATCCAGAGCAACATATCCAAAGTCATAGGTAGTCTTAAACTTGTGTCCCTGAGGAATAGGTCTACCATCCCTGAACCATTCGACCACCATAGTGGGATCGTTCACAGGTGTCAATGTAGCCTCAAGATGAGCGCTCTTGCCTTCAGGCAAGTGTTCTATGTTCTTCAATGGACGACCGAATTTCGGTTTCTCAGCGATGATCAGATCTTCCTGGTCCACGCGTTTGTATCGCGAGTCGTCTTCAAGGTACTGTATCTTCTTTAGGGCACTTTCGTGTTGCGTTTCACGAATTATCGAAGCGCGCGCTGTAATGTGTTTTTATTTTAACAAACGAATTACATTTTATTTTAATAAACGAATTACATATTCACGGTGGACTGTATGAAGATTATTTACACGATACAAATAACATGACAGTGGAGGAACAACGTGAAACAGACGGGAGTACAGAAGCGAAACTAAGTTTCTAAGCGGAAAGCCATTATTTGGGAGTTGGATGAAATAAAATGCTTTTGTCCACCTGATGTCCCCGTGAGTGATTTTTGAATGGTCATGGAAGTATAACTATTTAATAAAGATTTATTTTGTCAGTTTGGAAGAGAATGCAATTTGATAAAACTTGTGTTTGGTTTTATAGAACGAAGCTAATAATTGATTATAAATAGAGAAGTATAAAATGTTCAATTTAATTCTTGTTATTTTACATTTTGTACAACAAAATTTGCGTTGACTATTAAAAAAATGCAAGAAAGATGAACAGACTGTAATATAACATAGTTACACAATTATAAAAAAATGAGGATAATAAACCAAAAAATAGTGATGTTAAAAAATAAGAAACATAAATATATTCATATATAGATGTACAAAAAGCAAAGAAGAAAAAAAAATATGTAAACCAAAAAAAAAAATTAGTCATGTGTGGATTTGAACCTGCGGTGCATCGGTTCATAAACTTCTCCCTTTACCACCTACACTATTAGCACAATTATTGTACATAAGTCATATTCATCACATTTATATTTCTCTAATTGAAAGAATATTAAACATCTCTCCAAATAATAAACATTAAGAGAAAAGATCAAGTATATATTATTTAATATTTCTTCTATAACCAACCCAAAAAGTTTTATCAAAATCGACAAGTCAAGTACTGTAACCAAACAAGTACTTGCCAGTACCATGTCACAAGTAGACATAATGTGACATCTACATCTACATCTGTATGTGACCTACATGACTTGTATATCACAAGTAGATGTAATGTGACATTTACATCTACATCTGTATGTGATCTACATAACCTGTATATCACAAGTACATATATGACATCTACATGACCTGTAGGCAAGTACATCTCTCTACACTTCACACTTGATCCCCAACTGACCTAAACTATACTACACTTCCATATAACCATTCTTAACACCATCCAAACCTGCATCCAGGTAAACTCTACCCGACAGTAATCTACTTACATTTGACATCAAGTTTGATCGAACTCTGCGCCGACCCCAGTTTATTGGTAGCCTGGCAAGTGTACGTGCCCGAGTCCTCAGCGTATACCGTGAGGACATCCAACGAAGCGAATCCAAAGTCGCAGGTGGTTCTGTACCTGTGACCGGTGGACAATGGTTTGCCGTTATGGAACCATTCCACCTTCATGTTCGGGTCTGGGTAAGGTTCGATGCGGCACTCATAGTGTGCGCTTTGACCTTCCACGAGGCTGGTGGGTCCGTTCAGTTGGACCGTGAATGATGGTTTCTCCTTCACTACGATTTCCTCCTCCTCGTGGCGCTGGTACCTGCTGGTGTCCTCCAGGGCTTGGAGCTTCGATAGAGCGCTCTCGTGTTGCGACTCGAATTGCAGGGCCGCCTTGGCTGTGTTTGGGAACAGTTTTTGTCAGTGTATGTGTCGTGAACGGCGATGAGCTTGTCTGAATTTTAGTTTGAGCTTTGTCAGTAATTACTGAAGCAGTGTTAATTTTTGAATTGTTGTTTTATTAGGTTGATTTTGAAATATGAAGTTTGGTATGATTTTCGTGAGAAAAGTATTTAAGAATATTTATATGTTGGATGTGATGAAAGAAATTATGTGAAGGATTCATCAATACTTCTAATATACATGATGCTAGATGTAGTATATGATAATTAATTTTGAGATGGAGTCTAATGAGATTTCATGACAGAAAAGTGTTGCAAACTAGCACTTATGATATGTCAATTTAAAGCTTGAAATCTGCTGAAGAAAACTGTATGGATGCTTCATGGGTACTTTTAATACAAAATGGCTGACAGCTAATTTTACCAAACTGTAATCGATTTTGAAACATATATAGTCCGACGTGTTTTCATGACAGAAAAGTATAATAAAATGGCACTTGTGTTACATCAATTTAAAGCTTGAAATCTGCTGAAGAAAACTGTATGGATGCTTTATGGATACTTTTAATACTAAATGGCTGACAGCTAATTTTACCAAACTGTAATCGATTTTGAAACATATATAGTCCGACGTGTTTTCATGACAGAAAAGTATAATAAAATGGCACTTGTGTTACATCAATTTAAAGCTTGAAATCTGCTGAAGAAAACTGTATGGATGCTTCATGGGTACTTTTAATACAAAATGGCTGACAGCTAATTTTACCAAACTGTAATCGATTTTGAAACATATATAGTCCGACGTGTTTTCATGACAGAAAAGTATAATAAAATGGCACTTGTGTTACATCAATTTAAAGCTTGAAGCTTAATAAAAGTAGCTATGGCAATATTGTAAGAGTATCCTTAACACAAATGAACTGATTCTTTGTTGGAACAAAAGGTTCACCAAATCTTCAAAATTACAGAACTTGATAATAGTTAAAAATATAAAATTGAACTTTTGAGCAAGAAAAAAATTAAAAATACTAACTTTGTCAATTTCCTTCCATCACTAACATAAACCTAACAAAACGTAAAAATCCCAAAATCCTGAATAAAAATAATTATCAGTAATTATCAATAATTATAAGAAATATGTAAAACCTTCATTGTATCAAAAGTAAAACATAGATCATATAAAACACAGTTCATTATAAAAATAAATGCTCATCGCCGGTTGCAGATGTATAATGAAAAGTATAAAAAAAGTTTCTGTTATGCACCGTGTAAATGAAAAATTCTGTCTTCCTGTATTGCGGCCAAAAAAATACTAAAATCGCAAATCGTAAAAAAATAGAAAAAAGACTGTTCAGGTGAAAGCGTACAAAAAAAAATTTCTACGAACACTTCACCAAAAATGATGGAATAAAAAACGGGAGACTATCTGTGCACACAGAATACAAAATCTACGAGTAAGCATCTGCTTTACGCGTTCAAAAAGCTTGTCTGTGGCTTACAAGAAGCGTTGCTGAAAATCGAAGCTTCCCAGATAATTCTCCGGTGTTCTTTTTGGGGGGTTTATACTTACACTGAACGAAAAGCGTGGCTGATGTTACCGCTTCTCCGAGGTCGTTCACTGCACGGCAGGTGTAGGTACCGGAATCTTCAGGGTTCACGTATTTCATGTTCAGAGCGACGTATCCGAAATCGTGCATTGTTGTCACGCGATTCGCTGTTGGAAGATTTATTATTTTTTATGAGAACTTATGTCAAAATTGTTATTTTCAAAATTTGGTATTTTTAGAAAATACCAAAATTGTGATTTTTTATATGTGGTTATAATAATTTAGTTAATATGATTTTTTATAACTACATATAACAAAATTAACTTTAAATTTGTAACTACATATAAAAAATTAACTTTAAATATATAACTACATATAAAAAAATTAACTTTAAATTTATAACCACATATAAAAAAATTAACTTTAAATTTGTAACTACATATAAAAAATTAACTTTAAATATATAACTACATATAAAAAATGAACTTTAAATTTATAACTACATATACAAAATTAAAAATCATAATATATTTTAAACTCGAAATGCAACTCACAAGCTGCAATCGGAACTCCATTCCGTAGCCATTCAACTTTCAGTTTCGAATCGCCAACGGGAATCACACGAGCCTCGAAATGAGCTGCTTGGTTTTCAGCAACTTTCAGGTCTTTAATAGGCATCGTGAAAACTGGTGCTTGAGTGACAGTCTCTTCGGTTGTTGTCTTACGTTGATATCGAGAAGTATCCTCCAGGTAGTGAAGTCGTTGTAGGGTCTCTTCGTTCTGGGTCTCTGTGTAGATCGACTTTTTCGCTGTTTAAAAAAAGAAAAATATAAATAAATTTCAAGTTTATTATTCTGGTGCAGAAATATTTTTACTGTATTAACATATGTGTTCATTAAATTAATATATGAAGAGTATATGAATGAAAAAATGTATTAGATGTATTTAATGAATTAATGTATTCAATATATTCAATTATATATATTGAATGTAGTAGTATTAATATGTTGCTTCATTTGGTTATAAACAAATTATTTGTACTTTATAATATGTACAATTAGCAATATATTACGTGGAGTATCATTTTATCCACAGTTTAGTTTGTTCGCTCAAATTAACACAACCATCATCTTCATTTTTTAATTCAATAAAATTATTGTTATGTATAAAATTAACCACCTCACAAAAAACTTACAGTGAACAACAGCAGTGGCCGAAGTAATAGCTTCCCCAATAATATTCTTCGCTCTGCAAGTATACGTTCCAGAGTCCTCAGGATAAGCGTACATAATGTCCAGAGCGACGAAGCCAAAGCTGTTCGTCTCAACGAACCTAGACCCAGCCTTAACCGGCTTGTTATTATGGAACCATTCCACTTTCATCGTTGCGTCGGACACAGGGATCAGCCTGCACTCGAAATGAGCTCTCTGACCCTCTTTGATCTCCACGTTATTCAAGGACGTGGTGAAAATTGGTGCTTGAGTGGTCGTCTCTTCAACAACTTCCCGTCGTTGATACTTGCTCCTGTCCTCTAAATAGTGGATCTGTTCGAGACCCGATTCGTTCTGGGTGTCCGTTAAAATTTGGGCGGTGGATCGACAAGTTAGGTTGCATGACACTTCGTCGCTGCCGACGAGGTTCACAGCGCGGCAGGTGTAGGTGCCGGAGTCTTCGGCGATTAGGTCGATCACGTCCAGGGCGACGTAGCCGAAATCGTGTATTGGACGGAATCGGTGTCCTGGGTTCAAAAATTTTAGTTAATTGACGTATATTTATTACTGATTATGTCAAGGGTCAACTATTATACTTTTATTAACCTCTATTGTCAACTGTTAAGTTAGGTCAATATACAGCTATTCTAACTAGCCTTTTATTTACAGTAAAAATATTCTACCCACCTACAGTAACCGGACGACCATTTTTGTACCACTCGACCTTCAAGTTCGAGTCCGTCACGGGTTCCAACTTGCACTCAAAGTGAGCGTGTTGTCCTTCGCGAAGATTTTCCTGGTTCTTCGGAGCAGTGATAAATCGTGGTTTAACCTTGACCACCTCATCGACAAGCTCGTGTCTCTTGTACCTCGAGGCATCCTCCAGATACTGGATCCTCTCCAATCCTTCAGGATGCTGGGACTCTAGCAACAAGTCCTTCTTGGCGTGTACTCTAACGGAGCACGAGGTGATTGCTTCACCTAATTGATTTCTGGCTTGACAGGTATACACGCCGGAGTCTTCGGGATAGACACCGAGGATGTCGAGAGCTACGTAGTCGAATTCGTAGGAGGGTCGGAATCGGTGGCCGGTTTTCACTGGTCGGCCGTTTACAAACCACTCGACCTTCATGGTTGCGTCGCCTACTGGCTGCAGACGACATTCAAGATGAACGTTGGTTAGTTCGACTGTTTCGATGTTGTGCAGGGGTCGAGTGAACTGGGGTGCTTGCATCACTGTCACTTCTTCTTGTTGGGTCTTGCGGTATCTGTAATTATTATGAATTATGAGATTTTTTTAATTATGTATCAGGAAGTTGATTGTTGAAGGATTGCTGATGGATGAAGATTAATGTGAAGTTAAAAGTTGCAGAATAGTAACTGGCACATTTGCAGTTAGGTTAGGTTAGGTTTGACAAAAGAAATCACCTATGGATCCAAATGTGTACATTTGGACAAGAGTATCAGGATGAAGTCGTTGATTGTTGAAGGATTGTTGATGGATGAAGATTAATATGAAGTTAAATGTTGTAGAATAGTAACTGGTACATTTGCAGTTAGGTTAGGTTGGGTTTGACAGAATAAATCACCTATGGATCCACATGTGTATATATGGACAAGTTTAACAAACTTAAACAACTATCCTTCAGTCACTAATCTACCAAAAACAATTAAATATCACCAACCTCGCCGCATCTTCAAGCATCTGAATCTGCTCCAAAGACTGTTCATGCTGAGTGTCCGTGACAACATCAGACTTTCCAATAACGCGTACACAGGCTGAAGTATGAGCAGTGCCAAGATGATTAGTGGCTCTAACAGTGTATTCTCCAGAGTCAAGTACTGTCGAATGTACGATATCCAAAGCGACGAAACCGAAATCATAGTAAGTTCTGAATCTTGAGCCAACAGTAACGGGGCGGCCATTTTGGAACCACTCGACTCTCATTGTCGGATCTCCCATCGGTTCTAAACGACATTCAAGGTGAATATTTTTGCCCTCGCTCACGGGTTTCGGGTCGCTTAATGGCTGGACGAATATTGGCTTCGATTTTGATATTTCTTCGATGTGGTATTGAGGCTCGACGAATTTTGATTCTTCTAGGCGCTGAGTCTTCTCGTAGGACGTGCGGTGCATGCTGCTGGTATCCACACTCGAACGTGCTACAAACAATAATTATATAATTAATCAATGTGAACATACAAAATATCTCAAAGTTGAATTTAAAATATCTTCAAACATTTTTTCAAATTTTTTAAATATCTCTAAAATTGTATCATATAACCTATTATCCTCTCGAAGACCAGTACAATATTTTTCATTAAAGAAATTATTTTCCACAATTAAACTATAAAACAATAACATACTTTCTACAACCACATTAACAATTTCACATAACCTACTATCGTCCCGAAGATCACTATTATATTTCTCATTTAAAAAATAATTTTCTACAATTAAACTATAAAACAATCAAGAACGTACTTTCTACAACCATAGTAGCAGACAACTTCGCCTCTCCAAGTGCGTTTCTGGCGACGACAGTGTAGGTACCAGCGTCTTCAGGTCTGACTTGAAGAATATCGATAGCCACATATCCAAAGTCATGATAAGTTTGAATCCTGTTCGCAGCAGTGATGGGTTTCCCATTGTGGTACCATTCGATTTTCATGGTAAGGTCGCTTTGAGGTTCGACGCGAGCCTCGAAGTGGGCACGTTGACCTTCTACAATTTTATTGGTGCCCTTCAAGGTTCCCAGAAATCTTGGAGCCTGAGTGACTTGCGTCTCCTCTTGAACTTGTCGCGAGTATCTGCTGGAATCTTCCAAGGTTTGGATCTTCTGTAGTCCAGTTGGGTGCTGACTGTCGTAGATGACGTCGTTCTTGCTGATCACGCTCAGTTGAGCGGTCGTGTGAGCTTCTCCTGCGCGGTTGTAAGCTCGACAAGTGTATATTCCCACGTCGTGGATGGTCACGTACTTGATGGTCAGTGCGACGTAACCGAAGTTGAAGAATGTCGTGATACGGGAACCTGGTGGAATTTGGAAAAATTGATTTTTTGGAATTTTAGAAATTTTGGGGGTTGGGAGTTTGAGAGGGTGGAACTGTAGAAGTGTGGAGGTTTAGGATCTTGCGATTTTGGGATTTTGGGAATTTGGGGAGGTGGGAATTTTGAGGGATGGGAACTTGGGGAGATGGGAATTTGAAGGGATGGAAATTTGGAGAGATGGGAATTTGGGGAGATGGGAATTTGGGGAGATGGAAATTTGGGGAGATGGGAATTTGGAGAGATGGAAATTTGAGGAGATGGGAATTTTGGGAGATGGGAATTTGGAGGGATGGAAATTTGGCGAGATGGGAATTTGGAGGGTGAGAACTTGGGGAGATGGGAATTTGGGGAGATGGGAATTTGAGGAGATGAGAATTTGGCGGGATGGAAATTTGGGGAGATGGAAATTTGGTGGGCTGGGAATTTGAAGAGATGGGAATTTGGAGGGATGGAAATTTGGGGAGATGGGAATTTGGGGTGATGGAAATTTGAGGAGATGGGAATTTGGGGAGATGGGAATTTGTAGAGATGGGAATTTGAAGGGATGGGAATTCGGGGAGATGGAAATTTGGGAATTTGGAACTTTGCAACCTTGGAACATTGGATCTTTAGACCATAGGACCTCTGAACTTTTCAGACTTCACAATTTCCAAAATTAAATACTACAAGCTCAGATCCATAGACCCAACCCATATTGCAATATTATATCTTTATGTCTCCAGAATTTTGCAATGTTTGGAATTCTAAGACTAGGAAACTTACTAGCTTCTACAGGGCGTCCATCTTTAAGCCATTCAACTTTCAAGTCAGGATCGCCGACAGGTTCTAGGCGTGCTTCAAAGTGAGCAAAACCGCCTTCTCGTATGCTGTTCTGATCCTTAATAGGAGATTTGAATTCCGGTGGGCTGGTCGGTTCAGGCTGTTCCTGCACGTATTTCTGGTGCATAGCCTGTTGATATGCTTCCAATTCCTCGGCAGCCTCGATGTACCTCTGTTGCTCGGGGATTCCCAAATCTGTAGTAACGCTTGTGCGTGCTGTACAAACCAAACGCTTATATACAATCTGTTCATTATTTGTGAACAAACTATAAACGACGTTTAAAATCTTATCCTTGTTACTCTTTCAAGGCGAATCAAGATGTCTATATTTATACAGACATTTAGATAGTATATGTATATTAAGATAGTATTCTGTGTGATCAAGTTTTAGTAGTAAATAAGTGATCAAGTTGCTATTTCAACGACATTTACCATAGACACGGAGAGACGCGGAGCTGACAGCCTCTCCCAAGCGGTTCACAGCTCTGACAGTATAAGAACCGGCATCTTCAGCTCGTAGGTGCAATATATTGAGCGAGACGTACCCGAAGTTGAAGATGGTTGTGATTCTTGAGCCTGGAAATCATCATTAGTCATTTAGATCAGAGTCTGATGTTATGAAGCTAACTACTTGTATTTAGGATGAGATGTGGACTAACTACTTCTACCTAGGTTACGGTGTAGGGTAACTACTCGTATTTAGGTTGATATGAAGACTAACTACTTGGATAAGGATTGGACTTAAGGAGCTAACTATTTGTACCTAGGTTTATAGCTAACTACTTATACCTAGGTTATTATGGAGCTAGGTACTTTCATCTAGTTTGTATAATAGGTACATGTACGTGAGTTGACATGTAACTAACTACTTGTACTCAGGTTGAGATGTAACTGGATACTTCTATCTAGTTTTTAAGATATCTAGGTACTTCTATCTAGGACATGTCACAAGCTATTTGTACCTAGATTGATATGTACCTAGCTACTTCTATCCAGATACAGCTACATACTTTTACTTATTGTTAGAATAAACATTATACTGTCTAACATTATACTCACAGTCAAACAACATACATAAGAAAAATTAATATGTGTTAAGTAATAAGTGAGATCATTGAATCCTTGATCAGTAACCTTGATCAAATTAAATTTGAGTAAAAAGTTTTCAAATAAGTGGGTCCACATTTAGGGAAGAATACTTACTAGCTGTGATTGGCCTGCCATCCTTGTACCACTCCACTTTCATCGTCGGATCGCTGACAGGAGTGAGTTGCGCCTCAAAATGGGCGTTTCGTCCTTCCTGCAGTTCTCCTAGATCCTGGAGTGGTCGGATGAAGGCCGGCCGCTGTGAAGAGATCTCCTCCACACTCTCCTGTCTTTGATATTTGCTGTAATCCTCGAGCTGTTGAATGTACTGAAGGCTGTCGGGGTGTTGGCTAGCCTGTTCGATTGTTGCGCGTGCTGAAATAACATTATCAAGTTTACAATGCTGGCAGTTAAACACTCCTTTACCTATCACTTATTACTACATTTCCTGGTCATATTATTTTCGGATCATTTTTTCAATAAGGTTCAATAGCAAATAGTTTCACGGTAGAATGTTCTAAAGTTGACACTGCAAGTAACTTACGTGTCACGCTGAGGGTAGCTCGAGATTCAGCGACTCCAGTCGAACTCACGACACGGCATACGTATTCACCGCTGTCTTGTACAACGATGCTGATCAGGTCGAGAGAGATAAAGCCAAATCGGAAAATGGAAGTCGCACGGGAGCCTGAAATATTCACATCAATCAGCACAGATCTTCATTTCACGGTTCGGTCGAAACCACTTCCCGCCGTAACTGATAGCTTGCGCGCGCAACGCCGCTCAGTTACCGCGACCCTAACTTCACAAGGTACTCACTCGCATCGAGAGCTCTTCCATTGACGTACCACTCTACCCTCATAGTGGGATCGCCCACCGGTTCGATTCTGGCCTCGAAGTGAATCCGTCCACCCTCGATCTGATGGACGTCCCTTAATGGTATGATGAAACGTGGCGGTGGATAAACTCGGTCCTCCTCGGGTGGAGGCAAATACGGCTTGGCGCGTTCCACGTGTCTCAAATAAATCACTTCGGGGCCAGGCGCAGGTCTGCAAAACAATCTCATAGTTATTTTCCTCCTCCACCATTTTTAAGATTAATTCAATTCAAGGTTCCTACCGTTATTTCCCTTCAAGATTGCGTAAAGACAAAATTATTGCGTTAGTATTTATCACTGAACTAATTGTAAAATCTTCAATAATTTTTAGATGACGTGCAGATTCTTGTAGATTATTATAACCTTCTTTTGTAGGGAGATTTAATATGTTTACTCACTCAGGTTCGATGACTTTCGTCGGTCGGGGTAAATTCAGGCGTCTTGGTTCGGGGGGGGCTACTCCTTTCGGTGTTTCTACGAAAAGCCGTGCTCTGGTAGCCGTTGAACCGGCTACATTCTGTGCTGTGCATTGGTACCAAGCTGCATCTGACAATTTTGCGCAGGGTATGTCCAAAGTTGAAGCTCCGCTACCGTCCGTCGATATACGAACTTCCGGTCCAGGTGTTATTGGCACTCCATCCTGCACAAATCAGAAAATGTCTCTAACCATACTTTTCTTCTTTATCATAATTTTACGAAATTATATATATATTTTACGGAAATTTTTAATGTAAAATATAATTTTTTTTAAAAATGTGTAAACTTAAAATTTGGATTATTTTGCGGATGGGACAGAAATTAAACCTTCAATATTCCCAAATTCTCTAAAATCTAAATAATGTCCACATATGAGAGTTTACCTTTTGGAGGTGGGACAAAAATTAAACCTTCAATATTCCGAAATTCTTTAAAATCTGAATAATGTTCACAGATGAGGGTTTACCTTTTGCCAGGTGATTCGAGGGACAGGAGTGCCAACCGCGCGTGCCATGAACACAACAGGTTCTCCTTCCTTCACATTCGTCGTTGTGAATCGTTCGACGAATTTAGGAGCAACGACTTGTTCCTTCTCGATGACGTTCAGGTTACATTGGAAGGAGGTTTCACCGGCTTTGTTTCTTGCGACGCACGTCACGACGCCGGCGTCCGCGCGGCTCACGTTTGTGATCATCAGAGAATTGTTTCCGGATTCGTTCACGAGGATCTTGTGGGTCAGATCGTTGGCCACTTGTTGGCCATTTATGTACCATGTCACTTCCGGATACGGACGGCCAGTTACACGACAGTCAAACCTAAAAATTTTGTAAATGCATCTTACATAAATACAATAAATAATAATGTTAAAAATTATTGTGCAGGGAAGAGATGATTGGCTGAGATGTTCTTACAAGAAAATTATAGATTTGATCAAATTGAATGAAAATTATAAAATTGATAAAAAACGATGTACACAAATTTCAATTAATTTGTACAAACAAAATTAACATCGACATAAAAGTAATATTAATATCAAATAATTAATAGAATAAAAATGAAAAGTGATGTCAAATTCATCGACTAAAATTAGTCCATCAAAATTGATAAACTGATAACAAAATAAAAGTTAAGATCAAAATAAAATTAATATAAAATTATTTGACATTAGAATTAAAATTGTTTAAACAAATTTGAAATATACGTAAAATTGAAATTACTACATTTTCTAAAATAAATGAAGCCATCTTCCAAGATAAATTAAATCTACAGTCCACAATTTTTTAAAATCCACAATTTTTTCTTGAATAAATTATTTTTTTTTTCATAATTTTTTCGACATTTAATTTTATTTATACATAAAATAATTTTAATAAAAATTGTACTGAATTTAGAGAATAGAATGTGTACCTAGTCATTTTTCCTTCGGTAGCATCACGATCGGTGCAGGTGCGAACAAAATTCGGTGGTAAAACCTTGCCAGAGTCGGTTTCGCCGGTAGATTCTACTTGTTGAGTCTTGACGGCTTCTCTCTGTGTCTGATATGCTTGATCTACTTGATCGCTCGACTCGATTGCCAAATATGCAGAGCTAACGGTGCAACCCTGAGGATTTTCCGAGAGCAAAGTGTAATGGCCACTGTCTTCCGGCAAAGCTACTCTGACCCTCAGTGTTGCCTGTTGATTCGAATAGCTCATCTCCACGCGTTGTGATTCGCGGATCCTTTGGCCGTTTTTGAACCAAGTTAACTGTAAAAATTATAAAAAACATTCTCCATAAATTATTTAGATACAAACTGAAATAATACGTGACAAAACTAATGAGTCAATATAAATAAATGTATTATATAAAGCATCAAATAAATTTTGCTCAAAAGATTTTGCATGTCGAACGGTTTCTGTTGAGTTACTTTTTATTGTAACAATTTTTTGAATTTTTATTTTTGTTGTAAAAAAAAAATATAGTGAAGATGAAATTGAGTAAACCTTGAAAATTATGGCAGGGTTGAATTTGATCTTGTTAAACTGAATTAATTATGTATGTATATTATACATGTGTAACATATGCAACGTACTGTACACATACACATATGTATATGTACATGTATAACATATAGAATATACTGTATAAATATACAAATGTATGTGTACATGTAGAACATATAGAACATACTGTATACATATGCATATGTATATGTACATGTATGGCATATAGAACATACTGTATACATATGCATATGTATATGTACATGTATAACATACATATAGAATATACTGTGTACACATATACATATATATATGAACATGTATGATGTAGAAAGTGATATGCACATGCATGTAAATATACAACATATACATAACATATTATAACATAATTTTCATCCATAATTATAATACATATGTTATAACAACTATACATACATTTTCATAATAAATAATAAAAATGAATAGCTTTTTACCAATTATGCACAAGTATATTAAATATATTATAAATTCAAACTACTTCACATTTTAATATGAAAAAAATTGATAAAGAAATTAAATAAGTTATGATGATTGATTGTTAGTCATTCATGATTGAAGGAATGATACTCACTCTTGGTTTCGGATTGCCAGATATCTTCGCAGTGAAAACAGCATCGGATCCTTCAATGAGCTTCGAATTTCTCGGCTTCTGGGTGATTTGCGGAGGTGCAACCGGTCCCAGGTTACGATCTACCACCGTCGAAATTTGTACGTCCGATTCGCCCACGAAACGGCGAGTAATCGATTCTCGAAATTCGGTTTCACGCAGCAGTCTGTATTCGAACGTGTCCACCTGAGAATCATTATATCTCATTAATTCATATGTAGATTTAGAAAAATGTACCTCATGTATCTCATGTAGATAAGAGTTGCGATTATTTTTTATTTCATACAAGAAGAATTATCATTATTATTTATTTAAAATTAATTTAAAAATAAGAAGTAGTTTATATAAAGTATTATTTTGTGATTAGAAGAATGTTTTATAGAGAAATAAACCTTGAAATCTTCAATGCTTGTGCTGGTGCCATTAACATAACGTTTGTCGATCGTTTGCTGATAGCTGCGTTGCTGGAAGGACTGACTTCCGGTTTGACTCTTTTGCTCGGTGGATTGGAAGCTCTGCGAGAACTCCTTCCGGTAACCGCCTAGTTGCTGCTGAGGTGGAGGTCCGAATCCTTCTGGTTGGATATAAACGGAACAGATCGCTTCTCCTGTAAAAGAGAATTATTTTTTTATTTATTAAATAGGTAAAATTACAATATTTACAAATTAAAGTTTCTTTGATGATTGACTCTTCAATGATTCTTAAGACGTTTGAGAAGACGATGAGAATATGGTACGTTGGGAAATTGGGGAATTCGGGAATTTGAGGATTTAAGGGTTTAAGGATTTGGAGAATTTGGGAATTGGGGAATTTGGGAATTGAGGGATTTGGGAATTGGGAGATTTGGGATTTGGGGGATTTGGAAATTGGGGGATTTGGGAATTGGGGGATTTGGAAATTGGGGGATTTGGGAATTTGGAGGATTTGGAAATTTAGGAAATTTAGGAAATTTGGGAATTTGTGAGATTTGGAAATTTGGGGAATTTGGGAATTTGGGAATTTGGAAATTTGGGGAATTTGGGAATTTGGGAATTTGGGAATTGAGGGATTTGGGAATTGGGAGATTTGGGAATTGGGGGATTTGGAAATTGGGGGATTTGGGAATTTGGGAGATTTGGAAATTTGGGAGATTTGAAAATTCGGGGTATTTGGGAATTTGGAGGCCTTGGAAATTTAGGAAATTTGGGAATTTGGAGGCCTTGGAAATTTAGGAAATTTGGGAATTTGTGAGATTTGGAAATTTGGGGGATTTGGGAATTTGGAGGACTTGGAAATTTGGGAGATTTGGAAATATGGGGATTTGGAAATTTGAGAGATTTGGGGATTTAAGTATTTGGAGATTTAGAAATTTGGGGATTTAGAGATTTGAAAATTGGAGAATTTGGGAACTTAACAATTTGGAAATAAGAGAGTTTGGGAATTTAGGGATTTGGAAATTTCAAGATTTGGGGATTAAAGGATTTGGAAATTCGAGAATTCGAGAATTTAAGAATCTACGATCTTAGATCTTTGAAAACAAGATAAATTACTAATATGACAATTTGAGAATGTAAAAAGCTTGAGAAAATCATAATTTTGAATCTAATGGTAGGTTAGGTTAGATTAGGTTAAGTTCCATTAAGGTTAGGTTAGATTAAGTTCAATGAATATTAGGTTAGGATATATTAAGTTCAATGAAGGTTAGGTTAGGTTCATTAAGAGTCAATGAATATTTAACAGTCTTAGAACAATGAATTTCTCCTATTTTAATAGTTAGGCGAATTTATACTATTTGACCAGTGTTATATCAATAAATTTACAAGATTAGATTAATCAGTTACAAATAAATATTTCGATCACCCACCATATTGATTTTTAGCACTGCACGTGTATTCGCCCTCATCACCAGGGCCGATCTGATTAATTTGAAGCGTGACTGCTCCTGTTTTATCATCGTACGACATTCGAATTTTCCATGACTCCAACAACGGTGCACCCTTGTGTGTCCATGACACGGTGGGCTTCGGGTTTCCTCTTACACGACCCTCAAAAATTGCGTTTCCACCCTGCGCGAATCTGGCGTTCTTGAAAATTTGCTCGAAAACCGGCGGTGATGGATCACCGGGTCTGCCGGTAAAACTGTACAAAACATCACATTAACATTATTTATAAAAATAACAATTTTTTATTTGCGATAATTTTCTTTACTGTACAACTTTTCTTCAAAATTTATGAATTCTGTAAAATGTTCATTTGTAAATCAATTTTTTATTATGAACAGATGAGAAATATTTCTTTTTTATGAGCACAAGTAAAACATTTTTTTGTTATGAATGGATATGAAACATTTTGTTGTATAGATAGACATAAAATATTTTTTTTTATATGTAACCATAAAAGATTTTTTTGTGTAAGTAAATATAAAATATAGTTATAAGTAACTGCTAAAGATTTTTTTGTACAAGTAAGTGTAAAAGATTTTTTTTTATAAGTAACTGACAAAGATTTTTTTTTGATAAGTAACTGTCAATGATATTTTTTTATAAGTTACTGTTAAAGATTTTTTCATAAAAGTAAATCTAGAATATTTTTTTTTCAAGTACCTATCAAAAATATTTTTGTATAAATAACTATACAAAATTTGTTTTATAAACAACCACAAAAGATATTTTTGTTTGAGTACATACAAAATATTATTTGAATATTATTTAGTTTATCATATAAACGTTCATTAATGTATAGTTAAAATGATATTCCTATAAGAAATTGTAAAACAAATAAATAACAAAAAATTAATTATTCTGATTTGCGACAAATTTCTATTTCTCTAAAAATAGTACTGCTGAATAAATTCATTTTTTTAGCAGTAAAGATGATGGCACGTGTACCGGTATCAAAGTGGAATCTCAGCTGAGAAGCTAATTACCGCTAATTCACGCCTAATTTACTTCAGAAACTAAATGAATAGCATTTTTTCAGAAATTATTAGTGCAATAATTCTGCATGCAACTGTACAATAATATGATTCAACTTTTTTTTCGTAATTAATCAATTTTTTTATCGAAACTACTTTAATTATCTAATGTAACATTGATTAATTATTAATTCAAGCTACAATTAAAAATTGACAAGGAAATATTTTCAGGCTTACTCCTCGATTTTTATAACGTTGGGACATTTCAAATGTTATTTAGAAGAATGTTCTTTTTTATATTTTTTTAGTGAGGAAATTTGTTTATTAACAAATTTGTTTATTATTTGTTTATTGTTTATTTGTTTATTATTTGGACGTCTTGAAGAAATTAAAGATTTGGGAAAAGAATTTTTTTTTCATATTTTATGATGAGATTAAATATATGAAAATTTGTATTGAGATTAGGATAAAATAATTCATATAAAGATTTATTTAAAAAATCGCCTTAAAATTTATTTGGAAATTGTATAAATTAAAATTGAGGTTCATTTAAAAATTCTAAAAACTCATTTTGTGATTCATTTAAAAATTCTAAAAATTCACATTGAGATCCATTTTGAAAATTCTAAGAGTTCATATTAAAATTTATTTAGAAATTCTAAAAATTCAAATTGTGATTCATTTAAAAATTCCAAAAATACACATTAACATTCCTCTAAAAATTCTAAAAATTTACATTGTGATTCATATAAAAATCCTAAAAATGTCCACTAAAATTTATTTGAAGATCAAAAATTGCCACTAAAATTTATTTAAAAATCCCACAAATCTTCACATTTAAAATGCTTCCAACAAAAACTAAAAAATACTTACGTTGGTACCGTGGGCGTCGTCTGCATCACAATCTCCCCTTGAACTGCAAGCAAAAAGAAAACCGCACATTAATCCACCAGTGTAATTAATATTCATTTTCATACAAGATGCATTTTAATTTCCGTTTCCTGTTCTCCGGTGAACAGGTTCCTTTCAAATGAAAAAGGAAAAGGTTTCTTTTCAATCATTTCCGACTTTGTTACTTTTGTTTCATTAGAAGGCTGTTTCCTTTTCTAAGTGTATTTCCTCTCGTTCTTCTGAACTGGACCAGAACGAATCAAGGAAACGAACCGTTTTCTTTCTGTATTGTCGTCACGCGCCATGGTGACGTTCATTTTTGTTCAGGCTCGTTGCAATTAAGTCAATTCGCTAATTACACACGGTACTATGTTGACGTGAAATGCTGATGACCCAACAGTTAACGCGTTGCCTGTTATGGGGGTCACCGGTACCATCAATTTTAATTAATTTAATTTCACTAATTAGGGAGAGTATTGTTATTACGTCACTGATTATCGGGCTATTAAGAGATAACGTAAACGGAGAGAAAACGTGAAATATGGGAAATTATTCTACTCACTTTAATTGTACATGCAATTTATTTATGTAATAACAATTTTAATTATTTTCTTTTAGTTATACAGGGTGGTTCACAATTAGTAGGTCCCTGAAATGGTAGCTCACGTGATTCTGAATAAGATTTTCCTTTGCAAAAATGGGGTACGAAGCTTCGTTTTTGAATTATTAAAGAAAAATGCGAACCAATCAGAGCGCGAGGATTATTACGCGTTGGACTTCTACGCGTCGGATATCCACGCGCTGGATTACTACGCGTTGGATATCCACATGCTGGATTACTACGCGTTAGAT